AAAATACTCCTACAGATAATGACTGGTATGTAGGATATTTCTAAATGTAAGAATTTTATAGATACTAATTATTTTAAAGTGCATGTTGATTTATTAATAAATGTTTATGAAATTAAGTGTATTATTTTTCAACTTGCTTCTTCCATTAAAAAATTATCTTACAAATATTTTCCTTGGATTCACTAAAACAACATACAAGTTAAGACATCCTGCCAACTTTAATTGGTGCAAAGTGCTCCATATTCTGCTTTAATCATTAGTTATTTCCAAACTTTCATTATGAACCTTTGACTTGTGACTGTTACTTTCCCTATTAACAAATAGTACAGTAGCAAAAACAAAAACAAAAAAAACCTTGAGTTCTGATTCTTTTTATTAATTGGTTTATACATTGTTATAATGACTAGAACCCCAGCTTAGACTCCTTAGAGGATGGATTATGACAGCCCGAGCAAAATGGCTCAAGAGACATTGATTATTATACAGATTCTAACAGACCCAATACCAAGTTGGGTGCTGTGGTCATGCGTAGCTTGTAGAGAATTTCCCATCCCCTGAGAGACTAGCATACCATGTGTGATAATCAATAGTGATGACAAACTTGATAGGATCTAGAATCACCCAGAAGCCAGACATGATTAAATTAAGTGAAAGCAAAAGACCATTCTGAGTCCTGGACATCCAGACTGAGTAAAAGGAAACTGTGATCTGAGCACCAACCAGCATTCACGTCATTGCATCCTTACTGCACTGTGCCAATCCTCCTCACCCTCCTGACACCATGGTGAACATTATTACCCTTAAACTGGGACCCACAGCAAACCTTTCCTTTGTTGCACTGCATGTTTACTTTACCACAGCAACAAAGGAAGTATTTCATGTGGTACAGGGAGGTGAGGCAATCAGTACTCACCAGAGTCTCACACAACTCCAACCTTAGACATTACTTGTAGCCTCTTTTTGAGAACTTTCTGGAGCCCTTGTTTAGGTGAGGCTCAGGACAATTTTAATGTGACAGTCTACTCCTCATTTCCTTTCCAATGTCGTCTCTGCTGTTGTACTTCCACAGCCCATGCAAAAGCACATGGCTTACTTGAGACAATCCAATGACTCTGTGTTCAAAGTGCAGAACTTTCATGTTGCACATGGAAAAGAGCTAATCCCCCTCCTTCAAACGTCTACAGCTCTGATACTGTGAGCTGATCATTCACTGAATACATACAGCTTTTACTATTTTTATTTCATTTTTTTCCTGATAGCACTGCCGTATTCTGGATGCTAACTGTAATAAATCCCTAACTAATTTTTTTATGGAACTGGATAATCAAATCCCACATTTGTCATCTGTTAACTAGAGGATCTAAGTCATTCAGCCTCTTGGAGCTTCATGTCCTGATTTTATTTTTTAAAAATGGAGAAAGGTGGGGTATCTTTGGAGATTGGTAGCTGAGTTAGAAAAATATCCTCATATCTATCACATGATACATATAGTCAGTTTTGAAATAGTATGTGGTTATACCTATTATTATTTTTTGTAATATTATAAAGTCTTAAATTAATTACAAGATGCAGCATTGGTTTGTATATTAAATTTATGTTTATGAAAACTGTAAATAAATACATGTATGTGTGGAATAAAAGGAGTAACACCTCTGAAGAAATGCAGGAAAGAAGGGATAATGAAATTTCCTTCAACTACCAAATTCTGGGTACAGTAAGGAGATAACTCTGAAGACTGAAATACTCCAAAATAGGGCTACTGGAAAATTCATCATGCAGTGGCTGGACCTGCATTGTATGAATACAGCAAAAGTGCTGTGAGTGTGTAACTGAGGAGGCTGTGGTCTCCCACAGCAATTACCAAGGTGACCCAGGTGGCAACTCAGGGAGTCAGTCTCAAAAATGATTGCAAATTAGTAAACTGAAACCCAATCAATTGAATTGTGTTGTGTGTGGAGAAAGCCTGTGTGAACAGAATGGGGATGGTCATCCAGAGACCAAACTAGGACAGCTCAAGGACTAAGTGTTGTTACTTTATGTGCAGCAATGTCTGGAGAAGGTAGTGACCATGTGGTGATGTGCCAGCTTCCTTCCAGGAGTAGCTGCTCTCTGCCAGTGGGACATCAGAGAGTGCGTTCACACACTAGGGTTGATATTTGGGAATCCATTCTTGGTTTCACAAGCTAGTCATTCCATTTTACATCCTGGAACCCAAGGGGAAAAAAACCTTAAATGTGCCATTTGATGACCAAAGCTTAGATATGGAAACAGAAATGGCCAGCAGAAGTGCTAGAAGTAAATGCTTCCATGAATGCCATCTGTGTTAGTCAAAGCATAAGCAGAGTAAATGACAAAAGTACTAGATTGTGCGGTGCACAATTGTGACTCAACATTCCTTAGATGCAGATGACTCAAGGTACATCTCTCTCTCTGTTGCTGGTATTAACAAGTTGAATTCACCAACGGGGTTGTCAGTTTTAGACATCAGCTTTCTATAACACAGAATTTCAGGAAAGATAGTTTCAATTAAGGATTTACATCAGGTTGGCCTGGGAGTGATTGTCTTCATTGATGTAAGGAGATCAAGTTCAGTGTGGAAAATACCATTCCCTGGGAAGCAGTCCTGAATTATTTTTACTGTTTAAAGTTTCCAGATAAAAATCATTCCTGGTAATGTGAATTACTATACCAAACCAAATATAATTTTTCCTGTGTGATTTGAAGGAGCTTTTTTATACTTAGCATGCTTTTTACTTATGCTTATATGCTGATACAATGGCATCAAGTAGATCTTGCCAAGATATTTTTGGGGTCTAAGGGGGACACAAGTCAGCATTAATGGACAGACTTCGGAATCTAGCATGTGTAGCCAGAAAATAAAAATGGGTAGGAGAGCATGATATAGCATGTCATGGTTCCTTCAGGGGAGAGTCTGCTTTTTGTCTTCACTTCACTGTGGGTATTTGACTTCTGCATTACAATCTCTACTTGTGAATACTTTTGAACAAAAAGGTGAATCTATTCTTGCTGTGGGTACAACATACATAGGTGTGCTTTCTAGCTGAAACAAAGCCTTATCATTTGGACAGCTTCTAAACATAAGCACTTAAATTACTTAAATTATATCATATATTTCTTTGTAACTTTAATAGGGCTATAGGGGAAGAATTCGGGTGGATATTTGGTTTATTTATAACTTAGATAAATTATTAAGTGTTTCCCTCCAAATCTCATGAGCTCAATTCTAAATCTTAAAATTTAATTTTCAACATGTGCTATGTAGCAAGAAATCTCCAACCCAGGATCATAGCTGGATGCCTATGAAATAAGTTGTCTTGCCTGAGGCCACAGAGTACTTCGGGAACAAAAAAGGCAAGTCAAGCAAGCAGCAGTGATACCAGTTCTGAGCATTTAATATAGACCAGACACTGCCCAGCAGCTGCAAATCTCATTTAATCTTCTGCAAGCTGCTCTTCAGATGTGTACTCAATGCACCAAGCGTCTTCAAAAGGACATTGTGCACCCACACTAAGGAGCTAGGAACTGTTAACCCTAATGTGTGTCCTTTAAACACAAGATATCAGGGAAGCAAAACCATGACTTGGATCCTGCCCATTCTATCCTCTGATCCTAGGCAATGCCTCAGTGCCTCTGAGCCAGTTTCAACAATAGTAAATGGACACACTGTAGAGGAGAATGGTGTGGGCAAAGATTACCTATCTTTAATCTTTAACAAATTTTATGCTGGAAGCATTTACAATTGATGGCAATCTATTTATTTTAATTGAATTTGCATTATTTTTAAAATACAGTCTTTATTTATTTTTGAAACTGGTATACATGAACAGTGTACTTGGATAACATGCATCCTCTATCTTTTCTTGAACCCCCAGTGCATGTATGGATACACACATAAAGACAGCCCATTTTTTACTTGTATGTGTGTGCTGATGCATGTGTACATGTATGAGTACATATGTGGATGGCGTAGTCAGCTTCTGTTGTTATTCTCTGGCTACTGTAGAGTATACCTTATTTTTTAAGGCAAGGTCTCTCATTGACCTAGATTTCATGAATTCAGCTAGGTTGGCTGGCTGCATCCAGCCTAGAGATCTGTCTATCTTCATTTCCCCAGACCTGATTGGAGGAGAGTGCCATAAAGGCAGGTTTTCTTGTGTAAATTCAGAAGATACAGATTCAAGTCCCTATGCTCACAAACTAGATAGTTTGGACTGTCTAAAATATCTCCACAGCTCTACAATGCCAGGCTTTTACTTCCAATTTTATACTTTGCCAAGTGGGACCATCTTCACCTTGATTCTGAAAGACAGCTTAAAAAGAGGAGGAAACATTGACCTTCTCTATGCTTTTAAACTTTCCTATCAAAAGAAAACTAGGTACTTCCTTATTTGCATAATTAACATGAACAAAGGCAGAGCCATTAACCAGCAAGGTCTTTCTAAAGAAGAAAGCAAAAAAGCAACCAGCAACTATAAAGATTCATTTTAACACAACTTAAAAGGTGATAAGGAACATTCAAATCTGATTAAAACCTGTTGGCAGGTGGTTCAGCCAAGTCCTGTGAGTGATTTTTGAGAGCAAATTGTGTAATCTATTTTCAAGCCAGTTCCTCAGATAGCAGATCTTCTTTTATGGGAAAGTAAAGTGATGTTTAATGTCACATTAACACTGCAGTGAGCCTTCGGGTCCTCTTGGCCACAATCAGAACAGCGAACTTTGTAAACTACCTGTGCTCCTGCAAGCACATTTAGAGAAGATATAAAATCTAGTGGTGTTTGGAAGCAGGCCATGGGTTCTGTAATTGGTATTACAACTATTCACATAGGCCCAGAGATGAAAGGCCTTTGTTATGCTCCTCCCAAGCCTAGCCAGGCTGCATCCAATCTAAGTCACTTTGAAAAACAGGGGTCTTGACACAGAATCCATAGATAATCTACATTTTATCCTCCTTTTTTCCCCTTTAAATTTATGTTTTGCAGGACAAAGGATACTGGTTTTCTTTCCTTCAAAGATCACCTACCTGTAACTCAGATAATTATCACTGATACCAACAGATCAAACTCAGAAGCTGCTTGGAAAATTGGCCCCTTGCGTTGCTATGGTGACCGTGAGTACAACACCCCACCCCCTTCCCCTGAACTGCATGAGCACAAGATATTTTGGTTCCTTTTCCCTTTTCCCTTCAGTATCCTCCTAGTATTGAAAATTACCCACAAGCCCATTGCTTGTTTCCAGTGGAAACACACAAGCCAAGTTGAAGAACTCTCTGTTTCACAGGACACTACTGGAATGCCGTCTCATTTTCTACCGAAGCTTCTTACCTCCACTTTCCTACCTTCCATGCGGAAGTCAGCGCTGACATTTCCTTCTTTTTTAAAACCACTGCATTATCTGGAGTCTTCCTAGAGAACCTTGGCATTAAAGACTTCATCCGACTTGAAATGAGCTGTAAGTGCCTTCCTTTATGGTTCAATGTCAGTGGTCCACAGAGCAAGGTTTCACTTTATCTCTGCCACCAGGTGCTAGTACAGATTGTTAGGGTGGAGCTAATATAAGCAGTTATCAGTAAAACTAGCACGGGAGCTGTCAAAATTCTGCAAATGCCTTATGATTTATTATGTACTATAGGCATTTGTCAGTCGTTTCATCGGGATATGCACATTCCTAAAGTATCCTTTTGCAGGCACCATTCTCTTTAAAGGCGTGGTTATCACTTACCCATGGCTTTATGCCTCAGGATTGCACTATATGGGAAACAGGGATGATTGTTTTTGAGCATTCTCTTTATATTTAGGATCCACTTTACTATTTTACCCATGCCTTAGACGTCTTTTTTTTTTAATGAGCTGTGAAGACAGCACAACCAATAAAGACCTTGCAATCAAGCATGAGGACCTGAGTTCAGTTCCCCAGAACCTAGGAAGCATAGTCAGGTATTCCTGTGCCAGAGGAGACAAAGACAGGCACAGAACAGAAGGAACTGGTGAAGCTACAGGTTCAGAGAGAGACTCTGTTTCAAAAAGATGAGGTAGAGAATAATTGAGGAGGAACTTGGACATTTACCCAGAGGTCTATGTCTGAGCATCTTCAGCTGACCACATCTTGACCAAGTATCACCCAGCCCACCCGTCATCCAGGCACACACATACACATGCATGCATGCAGCCACATAATTTCTTGTCTCCAACTTATAGGAGAGTATACCTAGTCAGTAATACTTCATGACATTTTTTTCACCACTTTCTTGTCAGCAGCAGCAGTGTGTGTGTGTGTGTGTGTGTGTGTGTGCAGAGTTAGATACATGTAGTACACCTTTTTAACAGCCCAGAACTATGTCTATGGTATTTGTGTATTAATAACATTAGTAATCATTAAGCAAAATGAACCTTAAAGAAATATAGATGAAAAGACATTCTACTGTGGAACACTGCATATCAGCATGCTAACAAAAATACATGGAAGCACAAAAAAGAAAAAAAATATTGATTAAGTTTTATGAAATTGTAAAAAACAGCAATGTTTTAGTCTGTTTCAGTAATAATAACTTTAAAATCTGTCCATAAACCTGATTATCTACAAAGTTGTCAATGACTTCACTAAAGTTAATTTCCTGTACTTGCTTTTTTTCGAATGAAAATATAAATTGTATTGGCCCATTTATCATCTATTACATTTAGATTAGAATATTTTTATTAATTTTAATATGATTGTTTTTTCATATAAAGTAATATATATTCAAAAGGTTTGGGAAGATTTTTACAAGTTTGGTAAATTCAACCATTTTTATGATAAACTCCCAAAATTATAACCCTCTCAATATCCATTTGTTTTTAACTGGCATCAATTCTAATGATTTCAAAATATCCAAGTAATCAAAAATCTTTCCAGCATGTATTTTAATGCAGAATTCACCATAGATTTCTCTCCGGTTGGGTAGAAACTAAACAAAGCTATCAAGGGTTTGCAATGGCTGGTGCTCTTTTAATTCATGTGCTGACGTTTGTATTACCATGTGTACATTCCTGTGATATTCAGATTAGATAAAACAGTGGAAAACACACAGATGAAAGGAGCTGTTTGTTGCTCTTCCAGCCACACCAACCTGGCTTTTCATGGAGCTAGTGGAGCATATGAAGTTGTTCATATGAACTATTCTCTAGGTATAACCTTTACTATGCAATAAGTAATAAAATGTGCATATATATATAGTTACTTAACTTATTAATCATATATGTAATTAAAAATTAGCAGTGACTTTAGGGTATGTGTGTTTTGTACATGCATTTGGTAGGGGAGGTTAAATCATTAATGTTCGTTAGAATTACTAGTTAATCGTGATTAGGACACAACACGCAAACAGTAAACAAGAACTGAGTATACAGCAGCTCAATCAGTTAAGTTCTTAGTCTGCAAGCATGAGAACCTTGATTTTATCCTCAGAACTCAAGTAAAAAGTAAAAAGTCTGATTTGGCTTTGTGATGTGTGCTTACATTCCTAGTCTGGGGTAGACAAAGAGAGTCCTTTTAGCTAGTGGAAAACTGTCTTAGAAAATGAGGATTTGGGGGAATCCTGAGGAATGACATAAATATTTTCCTCTAGCCTCTCCATGAATGTGCACTCACATGAATGAACACTTCTGCTTACATGTATATCAGCAAACACATAAATAGTTGTACACAAACACACAGATAAATGAATACATGAATAAATAAAAACATTAAACATATTGTAGCTGCTTTTACTTCTGTTTTTGTGTTCTTTACACTATGGTGGTCTCCATTACCTGTACCCTGCCTTGCTCTTATTCTGCTCATGAGCACAGCTTGCTTGAACTTGTCCTTGAGCATCCTCTACTTTTGTCTAAGTGGACATTTTCCAATAGTTTGAATGAGGTGACTGACCATATCCTAGTGATGTAACTTCATGAGATACCCTTGAAAGCTAAGCAAACATCTTATCCACAGATATTGGAAATTTGAGAGCTCCCCAACAGAAAAAAAGTACATTTGCAGAAGGACACAGTGGATGGATTTTTGTGGGTCTCTAGGACATGGGAGAATCTGCTAAGAGTTTCTTTTGCAGTAGCATACTACACACAGGGGAAAAATGTGTCTTCATGTTACTTTTCACTAATTGTTCAAGGACATGTGCTACTACTGGGGGGAACTGTTGTGATTTTGGAGTAAAATAAAAATCCTTCAAACTTAACTTAGGCAGACTCTGAAAAGCAGACTGAATACCAACCAATCCATAGTGTGGACATAATACCTCAATGTAAAATTTATTAAAAAATCAGGCCCTGCAGCCTTTTTATTCATTAAACCCAAAGTCAATGTTATGGTATATTATCACAAGATAATCATCAGTGATTGAGTGTTAATTACAGATCAGTGTCCAATTTGTTTGTATTTTGTAGCAGTACACTGTGCCCTTCAGGCTATATAATTTTTTTAAAATTCAATTAAGCATTAAGTTTATAAAAACACACACACACACAAATAAAACCTGCAATGTAATTGTTTGATGTTTACTATCATTATACACTCAAGTATTACTTTCTAAAACACAAACATTTTGTATTAAATATTTTTAAATGTAAGAATGGGGATGTAGTTAGTGCAGTAAAAGAATGAAGAACTTGCTAGCACACAAAAGACCCTGAGTTCAGCCTCTATTGATAGAAAACACAAAAATACTAAAGATAAAGTCAGGAAACTGTAAGGACTAATATTTCCTAAACTTATTAATAATACTGTAGTTGGTACTACTGTTAAGAAGGGGAAAGCTCTAACAAGATATCACAACACTCACCCATCCTAGCATCAGAGCTATGGATCCAATAACATTACTCATTTAAGCAGAAGGACAATTCATGCTAAAATGTAAAGAACAAGAATGCATATGACCAGACACTTTCAAAGGAAAAGTCATTTAACAGATGTACTGACTGAGGAGACAAGCAGCAGTTTTCATGGTTGACATATCCATTGAATAATATGTTCACCTGCACAGAAAAGTTTTGTCCTCATCCCTGAACTGGGGTAGGAGTTGAAAATACCCAATGTCTCTTTGTGAAGCTCTGAGCTGAGTGGTGGAAAAAACTGTAGAGATTAGACACTAAAGAATACCCTACAGTTTACAGTGATACATTCTTGTTGTAGAAGAAGGGGAGAACATCCAACAGTCTTTTCTAGGTTTCTTTGATCCTTGGAATCCTTGTCAGGCATTTCATCTACCAAGGTATCTATAGGCTCTTCCTTTGACAATCTTGCCAAAGAGAGTGGTGAACTCACGTTGTTTCATTCATCTCTTAACTCTCTGGGAACAAGATCTGACTTGATAAACACTACTCTAATGCCCTTAGATTTGAATTGAACAATAAAGGATCAAATCATGAGAAAATATCCTTGTGAGACATTTAAGTGGCAAGTTCAGAAAGTCTGGAGTTAAGCCCATGTTGGTGTAGGCTACCATCTGCTCATTCGTTTTTTTTTTATATTCAGCTGTGTCTAGTTATCTATGTTATGTATTATAGCCATGATGTTCACGGGGGACTACATAGACCACATGATATTTGAGGTTGGAGGCAATAGTCAGAAATATAATCTCTACCAATGGTAAAACACATTTGTCTAGGCCACAAACTGTGGTCATGTTCATGTCTAAGGGCTATGCTACCATTATGCCCATACCACTCTGGGTAACCTATGCTGCTACATGGGGCTATGGTGTCATCCAGGTCCAGGCTGATGCCTAGGGCCATGTTTGGTTCGATGGCGGAGCAGGATCTGAGTTAATATCTATGGCCCCTGTTACAACTGTGCAAATCCCCAGGGTCTGGGCAGCCACTTGACAGCATGTTGGTGTTCTAGCGCCTTGCTGCCACTAAGGCCACGCTGATTTGGGTAGCCTGTACTGCCATTGTGGCCATAGTGATATCTGAGTCAGAACTGCTGCCAAGGACCATGTCTGAATCCATGTTTCTACTGTCTGTGATGATATCCATGGCCTATGTTGCCATAAGGGTTCATAGCAACTAAGAATCTTGAAATCAAAGGGCCATGCTGAGATGGCCTCCCATTCACTCACCCTGGGATAGCTTCCCCTGCCTCTTTCTGGACACTATACCAGGAGAGATGTCCCAATACCATGGGAGAGGGGTCCCCTGCACTTGGGAGAGATGACCCTACCCCTCATCAGGAGAGGTAACCCCAACAATATGGGCCAAGGAGAGTAGGCTCTGCATCTCACCTCAGAGGGGTGGTCCCAGTGACATGGACCAACCAGTTTAGCTACATCCCAGACCCACATCCTGGACCTTGGGTTGGACAACCCTAACATCTAACCCATCTATGACATGCTGAAATGTGTGAAGAAACTATTTCTGTGGAAAAATAATCATTGGATCCCATGACTTGGGACAATAGCAGGATATCACAGTGACGTTTTGGTAAGAGTTCAGTGATCCTGGTGTGCCAGAGGCCTTGAAGCAGAGCAATGACTCATTACAATGAACATTTTTGGATGGAACTCATCAGACAAAAGGGTATAGTGTGATACACACCACATCACCCAATGCCACTAGGTTGAATGAAGAGATATTAGAAAGATAGAGAATCGAGGTGTTTTTGTTACTGTTTTAATTTTGCTTTGTTTATAATTGATTTGTGGGGAGGATTCCTTTTGGAGGGAGGCTGCAGGAGTGAAGGGTGAATATGAAGGAGCTGGGAGGTGAGGGGGATTAGGCTGCATGATGTGAAATTCCCAAAGAATCAATAAAGAATTGTTACAGAGTAAAAGCTCTAGAAGTATATTCCCAGGATTTATATATTATTTTTTCTAGCCACTGTGACCATGTGTGCTCAGTCCCTCACTGATGAAATAGTCCTGTATAACAAGGCTGTATTGAGGCCCAACTGAATTCAGTGGATGAAAAATGCTTAGCAGTATGTCTGGCTTGTGTGATACACTTAATAAATATTAATGTTACTGTTGATACTATATCACTCATTCTTTAATATCCAGGAGTAATGGATAGAATTCAGACAGGAAAATAGATGTATGATAAAAAGAACAGGAGATGGTGGCTTGGTAGTCTATGTTGTCAATCCCCATTTTTGATGCTGTTTGCAGGCATCAACTTACTTCTTACCTTTAGGGCCAGAACTCATGAGAAAGGAAAGCTGTCTGTCCTCAGTTACCTGGAGTTCTGTATGGTGGTGGTTCGTGCAAGAGCAGTTTTCTGCTAATATTCAGAACCTTGTGGGACATGGTCTCAGATTGTATTTGCCACTTCTGCCATGTTCAGCTAGAAACACACTCCTTGTGTTAGGGTAAATAAAGAGGAAAAACCATTACATGTCAAGAAGTAGAACAGGTCTGACATGGGAAAGCTCTGGATACTCAGGAGGCTGCCTCTCATCACCCTCATTTCATAACTAACTGCCCCCTAGTTTGTACTTGGAAAATCCTCTTATGACACTAGGTACACAGGAACCTGTTAAGAAGCTTTGCCTTTATAATCAGATATTACTATCTGGGATACTGGTTTTCTGAACAATTTTTATTGATACTTGAATTTGAGTGTGCCTTTCTCAGAGTTGTTTTAAGGACCACAGTAAGAAAATCTATTTGTTGGGCCTTACCCAAAGTCACTTCTGGCTCTCACTATTGATTTCTATTGGTGCTACTACCACTATCATCACCAGAAGCCTATCATTGTCACCATCAGTACCATCTCTACCACAATCCTTAGCTGCTTTTCCAGAAGCATGAAGATAGTCACTGAGATTATTATCACTATCACTGTTAACACCACCATCAAAACCATTAACATTACTGCCATCACAAATTCCATCCAGACACACCACCAAAGTATTTGTCTTGTCTTATTGCTGAAACAAAATACCCGATTACAGTAACTTAAAGAAAGAAGTATTTCCTGTAGTCTCATGTCATCATAGTGTGTTGATATGATGACAAGAGCTTGAGGTAGTAGATCACATTGCACATGCAGTCAGGAAATAGAATGATGAACAGTACTGTTTAATTCACTTTCTTTTTTGTATTTAGTTAAGGATTACAGTCCATGGAATGGTGTTACCCATATTTAAGTGGTCTTTTCACCTCACTTAACCCATTCTATATAAGCCTGCAAAATTGTGCACAGAGGATTGTCTCATCTGTGTTTCTAGATTCCACTGACAGTTAAATTAACCACCAGACTTACATTCCTGACCACAACCAATACCATCAGTACAATCACAGATTTACCATTGCCAAAATAATCACTACCATCTGAAGTACTGTGACCACGTTATCCATCATTCCTCTTCTTGATCCCATCCCTACCATCACCAATATCATCACTACAATCACCATGGTTATCATGACTACCACTATCACCATGAACAGTGCCATTAGTATCTTTATCATCACCATCGTTTTAATATGATTAGCATCATTATTATTGAATGCCTGTCAATTTATGTCCATAATAAATTGTTAAAAGAGAGGGACAGAGTCCTGGAAAGTATCCAACATGAAGGGTGGACTTCTAAGTAATTTAAGGCACTTCCATTTTCAGTGTTATTCCTCTGGACTAGCAACTGATACTATTCATGACATTTCAGTATTTTTAAGATTTATTTTTATTTATATGTTTGTATCTATGTGGGTATATACCCATGTGTCCAGGTACCTGTGGACACGAGAGAGCAATCATATCCCCAGAGGTGGACTTTTATACAGTTACGTGCTGTCTCATCTGAGTCTTAGGAACTGAGCTCTGATTCTCTTCAAGAGCAGCAAATGGTCTTATGCTTTGGGCCGTCTTTCCAGCCTGATTTTGGCATTTCTAGATATGGAAATATGAGTTCTTGGGTCACATGAACTGACTAAATATCCTGGCAAATGATATTGTTGTTTTAAGGGCATGAGTCCCCTCTCTGCAGCAAGAAGATGCTTAGCTACCTCTTGTGTACAGTAGGAAACACAGAGTTTCAGCAGAGAGTTAGACAGACACAAATTCCTTGATCCCTGCTGCTTATATTGAACAACTAGGAACAACTGAAGTGGCAGGGCATAGAGCTCTTACATATGTAGCCTTTAGATGTTGATAATGATGGTGCTGATCCAAGGGCTCCAGAGAGTTCAAAGCTGTCCTCTCTACATTGACACAGACTTACAATCCCTTTCCCTAGACATCCTGAATGTGCTTTGTGCCTGCAACACACTGACAATGGCTTTCATTCTTCTTTCTTGTTTGGCTACAGCTCCTTCTGAGGTTACCTTTGCCATTGATGTTGGGAATGGCCCTGTTGAGCTCCTGGTCCAGTCTCCTTCTCCTCTGAATGATAACCAATGGCATTATATCCGGGCTGAGAGAAACCTCAAGGAGACCTCCCTGCAGGTGGACAGCCTTCCACGGAGCACAAGGGAGACCTCAGAGGAAGGCCATTTCCGACTTCAGCTGAATAGCCAGTTGTTTGTAGGTAGGATACATGGAGCATATTTGTGCTAAATGCGTACAGCATAACTTTATGCCCTAGCTCAGTGAAAAATTCCTAGTATTTTGCAATTAGGGAATTAAATATATTGCTATTTTTTACTATTGGTTCAATTTGATTAATTGTTTTATTCCTCCGGGTGATGGTAATGCATGACTTTTATCCCAGCACTTGGGAGACAGAGGCAGGAAGATCTCTGTGAGTTCGAGGTCAGCCTGGTCTATCTACAGAGCTACTTCCAGTACAGCTAGGGTTGTTGTTACACAGAAAAACCCTGTCTCAAAAACCAAAGAAAAAATTTTAGTCTAGTTTCATGGATCATCCCAATAAAGTTTGTGTTACTCCTTCACAAATTTAGTGGCTTTCTTAGACTGTTTGGTACCAATTCTCTTCGTATACATTTTTTTTCAGACATCCATGGACTGTTATGTTTAGAGTAATTGTAACAAAAATTTACAGCATAGGCAGAGGTTCCAGTCTATTGCTCCTGATAACAGTATGATGAAATACTTAACTAAACCAAAGAAATTCAGTGTTTAGGAGTAAAAATTAGGGAGTGTGCTAGCTGGTTTTATGTCAGCATGACACCAGCTAGGGTTACTTGAAAGAGGGACTCTCAACTGAGAATATGTCTCCATATATTTCCTCTATAGGGAAGTCCATAGAGCATTTTCTTAATGAGTGGTTTATTTGAGAGGGCCTGGCTAATGTACATGCTGCCACCCATGTGCTTGTGGTGCTGGATTGTATAGGACTTCAGGCTGAGCAAGCAATATAAAGCATACCTGTAGATAGGCTCTATACGGCCTCTGCATCAGCTCCTGTTTCCAAATCCTTGCCCTGCTTGGGTTCTTCCCCTGACTTCATTTGATGACTGGCTGTGATACTGAAGTATAAGCAAAGTAAACCGTTTCCTCTCTAAGATGCTTTTGGTCACAACAATAGAAGCCCTAACTACTGTAAAGTGCTACTCATTCCCTCTGTGAGACATAACATTTGCACCAATATTACACATTGAATAGGTGGCCTCTGACAATGGTAGGAGTAGATAGATTCAAAAGCCTTGGACTGAATTTGGTCTTTCTTTTTATTTCCCTGTCTTTTCCTCCATTCTCCCTCCCTACTTTTCCCCATCAATAGCCACAAAGAAGCTAACTCTATTCAAGTAACCTAGTCTGATAGTGGGGATAGAAAAATGAACTGAGAAAAGTACTGCTTTTCAAGGTCTTTATGTATGTGTATGTATGTTTGAGTTGCGCATGTGTATATGAATATGTGTTAGTGTGTGTGTGAGGGGGAAAGGGACACCATTGTAGATAAACTAGTCTAGTACTGATATAAGACCAGTATTTGCACTGTTTTCTATCAACACCCACACTGTATAGCTAACCACCAGCCACAGAATTCCATATATATTCCATGTGCATCTTGTATTTGCTTCCTTTATAAGAGGGCTAACTTAATTTCTATATCTGAAATATTATCACTGAAAACATACTTACTAAAAGAAAAGAGATACTAGAATTTGAGAACATTGAGTTTTCATTTTATCACCCACCATACGTGTATCTTCATTAGTTGTGTTTTGTACATCCAGTAGAATCTAATATCAAGTGATTTAAAACCTTCTCTTGATTATAGGTCTCTTCCTTAATTAATAACTCCTGTAAGTAATATGATTTACCACTGAGAAAACTTAAATTTGTTTTGAGGTTTCAGTTCTATTTAAACATCACATTTCATTTCTTGAAGGAAATTTGCTACTCATCAAGATTTAGTATCTCTTTTTGGTGGAATCAGTTCAAGTATTTTACAATTTCCATAAATTATACTTCATGTGAAAGTCTAATATATCTTCTGGCACTATTTATGAATCTTTCTAGCTGAAGAAGAATCTAAAGATGGAGGATAGCTTTTCTACACAATCTTAGCTACCCAACTATCACAAGAACAGAGACGAGATGAACTTTGTATAACTTAAAAGGGAAGAGAGGCAGCAGTGGTTTGTGCCAAGTTTTTATTACCAGACATTTAAATTGATCAGAAATCCAGTGAGTTGTGCAAACATGTGGATAGGACTGGATAAAACATCTTGACAGAGTTGTAGCCAAGGTCAATCTAAGGAGCATGCTCACTTCTGTTAGGCTTCTCTCCACTGAGTCCAATCGTAGAATAACTGTGCTTTATTGAGTTTATCTTCATGAGATTCCAAAAGGATAAAATGGTGTTATAGGTCATCTTTGTCTGATGATTTATGACTCACTGTTGAGTGTTTAGTGACAGATATGTTTGCAAATGCCATCTGGCCAAAGGCATTTGAAGACCCAGCATTTCCATTTGTGTGTATTTTATCTGTGCAGTGAATGAATGATTGAATGTTTTGATTAGTCATTGCCATAATTTCCTGTCCAGTTGGATTGAGCATTGGGCAGCAGATCAGTACCCATCCCAAGTATACACACGGACTTTGGACTCCCATAGAACAATGTGAGGTGCACTCTCACCCTGAACTCTTGGGGAAGAGTCTAGGCCCTGCCCTATATGAAATGACACATTATGGACACCCCCATGGAGGGCCTCACCCTCCCTGGAGAAATGAGGGGATAACGGGGGGGGGAGGGCACGGGAGGAAGGGAGGGAATGGGAGAGGGACCTGGAACTGACTTGTGAAGCAACCTTGTTTCTTATCTAAATTTAAACTGGAAAATAAAATTTAAAAAAAAAAGACTAAAAAAAATTTCCCAACAAAAGTAACAGAGAAGAAGGGCTTATTCAGTTTCCACTTTCAGGTTAGAATCCCTCACTAGGAAAGTAGGGGCAAGAACTTGAAACAACTCTTTACATCCACATTCGAGAACACAGAGAGAATGAATACATGCATATTCACTCTCAGTTTAACTCCTCCTCTTTTATATAGTCCAATAACGCCAATAACTAAAACCAAAAGATAGTGCCACCTAATTTTGTATTAGGTCCTATCACAAGAAACAGTTTAATCAAGACTATCTTCCAAAGACATAGGAAATCTTTGTTTCCTGCACAGCTTATAAACAACTTGGTGGATGTGTCTCTTCTCCCCAGCAAATGTCATTGCTTATATACCTTGGGGAGGCATCTTGTGAACCTTGTAATGTTCATGAGCTTTCTGAGTCCTGCATGTTTGATCACAAGTCTTTCTCTAATTGTTCATACTATTCTTAGTGCCTTGGCATTTGTAAGTTCAATCTTTTGATATATCTAGAAGATAGAATCATGATCAGAAGCCGAATCAAGATAGTCCCTCACTAAGAATTCCTTAATAGGTGATTCTATATTGTATCAAATTGACAAAAGTAACCATCACAGTTATATTAGTCCAAATGAAAAACTGTGTCCTCCATGACTCAGAAATGTGGAACCATTAGATGCTTATCTTTGGCATGTAGCACAAGATGCCTTTATTGGGGTGTATGCCTTGACTGGGATAGGTTGAGAATGGCATGATTTAAGATCAGCATGGTATGCCTGTCCAGAAACCTTTTCCATGGGAGAATTCTAAATCAAAGTAGAGTGTCCAACATCATTTTGATCACTGGACCTTTACTTTGATCATGAGTGCTTTCTGTACACCAGACACAAATGCAGCACATCTTTTAAAATAGGATGCACCTTCTAGCACTGCCCTGGTAATTTCAGTGTGACAGCATGAAAAGTGTTGATCAATGACTCATTGCTTGATGGATTCCCAGAATCAATATTGTAACTCAACACTGTTTTGTCACCATGATCGTTAGGGATATTTGAAACAAGGCCATTTTGTCCAGTGCATTGATTTAGCAGAATATGGGAAATTTTATAGAATATACCCTTGACTAAGTAATGTTAGCTGAAGTGCAATCTCAACATCAGGACTGTTGACAGTTTCATTATTTCTCTTTTGTGGGTTTTATGTATGCGTATATGTGTGTGTATGTGTGTGTGTGTATGTATATATGTGTATATGCATGTTTGAATGTGTGTTAGCATATTTATATGTGGCCAAACATATAAATGTACAGGCAAGAGGTTGGTATCAGGAATATTCCTTGATATCATTCCACTTCATTACTGCGTCAGTCAACTAACTTGCTAACCTATTATTTGGCTGATGTAACTGCCTAGCTTTCCCCTTGGAGTATGCAGTCTTTGTCTGCCAAGTGACAGATTATAGTTGGCTGCTATAACATGCCTCCCAGCTGCTATATGAGTAGTGGAGGTCCGAACTCTTGTCCTCATGCGTGTGCTGTGAGTTAGTATACTGGAAGAAACATTAGTAGAGACATACCTAGTGTAAGTATATGATTGTCTTTTGCTATAGAATGAAAATGAAGATCAAGACTGACCAATCTAGTACTCCCTGCATGCCTCATGCCTGTGTGTATAGAACATCAAGGGAAGAGTCTCACTTTTCCCAGTTGGGTGTGACATCTTCCCAAATATGCTGCAGATGTGCAGTAGACATCTATGTAGATGAGCTTGTGAGTCTCACCTTCTGCTATTACCACCTTCTTCTTCTTTCTTTCTTCCCTGTAGGTGCTTGAGACAGCTGATCACATTATATCCCTAGTCAGGAAGCAGAGGAGATACATCCTGGTGCTTAGATATCTCTCCCTTTTTTATTCAGTCCAGAAAAGCAGGCAAATGGATGGTGCCACCCACATTAGGGTGGGTCTACCCACCTCAGTTTATCAAGTCTAGAACCTCCATCCTACACATGCCTGATACTTGTCCTTATGGGATTCTAGATATGCCAAATTAACAATTAAGCTCTAATATACCAGATGTTAAGATTCTGTGGGCTATTTACTTTCTTTTTTTATTAATATTTTTTTTAAATTTAGATAAGAAACAAGGTTGCTTCACAAGTCAGTACGAGGTCCCTCTCCCTTTCCCTCCCCTCCTCCCGTGCCCTCCCCCCCCATCCCCCCCCGTTATCCCCTCATTCCCCCAGGGAGGGTGAGGCCCTC